TACAGACCCCGCACTCAGAACTCTGTTTAATTCCATGGGGAGTGAAGCATCAGTTTTGCAAGGGATGGACATTCCCTTCTTCCCTCCATGTTATCACATTTTCCGACCTTCTTGTCAACAACTTTTTTCCTACGGTGTTAGTTTCCTATGGCTGCTATAACAAATTACAAACTTGGTGGCTTAAAACAACAGAAATCTATTCTCTCACAGTTCTGAAGCCCAAACATCTAAAACGAGCACCACTGGACCAAAATCGAGGTGTCAGCAGGGCCACTCTCCCTCCAGAGGCTGTGGAAAGAAACCCACTCCTGGCCTCTTCCAGCTCCTGTGGCTGCTGGCAAACCCTGGCATGATCCCATCACTGGAAACTTCAAGGCCAGCATCTTCACGTCTTTTCACTTCGTCTCTATGCTGCCTTCTCCTCTGTGTGTGTGCCAAGTCTCGCTCTGTTTCTCTCTCACGAGGATGCTGGTGATGTCACTTACAGCCTGCAGAATTATCCAGGATGATCTCCCCATCTCAAGATCCTCCACTTAATCACATCTGCAAAAACCTTTTTTTTTTCTTTCCAAATCACATGATTTACAGTTTCCCAGATTAGGATCTCATATGCCATATCACCGGGTGACCATTCAATCTACCGCACCTATTAAAATCCCTCCACCAAGACCCACTATTCAGGTAAACTGTTTCTCCAAAGATCTCCCCCTGATGTATCTGTATCCATTGTTGTGTTAGCTTTGCTTGAAAAACAATTCTTCTTGAGTTGAGTTGGGGAATTGTCTGTTGAGCTGAGGATGGAGGGCAGTAGGTGTAGGTCTCTGAGCCCATGTCTAGGGCCACAGCTGGACCGTGAATATGTCCTTTGTAGCTCATCCTAGCTGGGCTCTGGCTGGAGAACAGGTTAGAGGGAGGCACCTTATTTCTGGGCCTTCTTTCTTTCTCAGGAGGCTGCAACTTGGTATTGGCACTCCCTGGTGCAGATTGCCAACTGGCTTCAGAAATATTGTTGGTCAAAAAAAACTATTCTAATTGATATCTAAAGGCAAGACCTAATTAACAGGAGAGCCACAATTCCATCTTGATTGAAAACATCTTTTATGAGTGTTTCTTCTATGTATTGAGCTTAAAAATGTACGTTACTTTTTAATAACCTTATGATATTGCCACTTTTTCAAAAACCAAGGCACAGAGACCTTAATTAACTTTTCCAAAGTCACAGAGCTAGTAAGTGATGGACTCAGAACATAAATCCAGATTTAAGAAAATGCTTTAAAGCTATTTAGTTTTAGCTCCTTCTTCCAATAAACAGGGGAAGGAGTCAATGTTGTTTTTCTAAAGGCTATTGGTGGAGACCTTCCCAGAAGTTAAAGAAAGACTGGAAGAAAGAGCTTGGAAAGGAAGATACAATTGGCCAAACTCAGAGAGGAGGAACTTCTCCAGAATTGGGAAAAGAACCGCTATTTGATTCCCTGACAACCTGGTGGACCTCAGAGATGAACGACCTTGAATCACAACTAGGTCAGGAGGCCTGGGCACGGGGAGTCCCAGTCTCAGCAAAGATCCCCTTCCAACCACGACACACAGTGGTGGACATGAAATCATTCCATGGACTCTGCACTTAGAAAAACAGTCCGTGTCATGAATGACTGGCATAAATCTAAATTTTGGAAGACTTTATGTTTTAGGCTTTATGAAACCCCACCTCTTCTCACAGTCATAAATTTAGGGATAAGGAGTTCCAACAATGACCAAGATTGAATTTCTTAACACTTTGCCAGCAGAGAGCTCAGGGTACAATTTGATTTGGGGGAATAAGGGATTTTTGACATTTCTCCATTTATCACATTCAATTTTGGCAGTGGGAAAATCACAGCCCCCCACGTTGTTTCTCTCCCTCTGAAGCCCAGGCTCTGCATCACTGGCCATCAAGCTGAATGTCAAGATGGTGACATTTCAGGGACAGGCCAGGTTCTGGGTTTATTGTGGCTGGTGCTAAGAGTGGACGTCGACTTACCTACAAGAATGGGACTTGCCCCTCATGCCACCACCTTCCCCAAAATCTACTGGTCACCCTTTTAACTTAATAAACTGGGAAGAAAATAGGTGCTGGGACATTTTCTGCATCCCTGAAAACAATAGCATTTACGATTTTTTTAATTCAAGCAGTTGTTTGCCCGGCTTTTTCATGTGTATTGTTCTATGATCCTAAGGCTCCTTGTGAGTTGTACATTTTTCTGAACATCAGGGCTGTCCTGGGGTGTAAGTCCTCTTATCTCTTCAGTACTTGAGCGCTTCTCCTACCTCTAGCAATCCTAGGACTCGTTGTATTTTTGCTCTGTACTCTCAGTAGCCACATTAAGTGCTAGACAACAAGATATGGAATCTTTAACAATACAAGACTTTAAAATGTACCCACAGTCATTACTATTATATTCACTGTAGCTTTACCCTTTCACTCACACTTGAGATTCAGCCTATAAAAATCCCCGGTCTGAAAGAAACATCTAAAAAACTCAATTATGCCCAAACTAAGGAAGTCATCATTTTTAAGGCTGCTAAAGTGCATTTGGCATTTCCAAACGAGCCTCCTTTATTTAAATGAGCAACAATTATTCTGAGTTCTTACTGTAATTCTGAAGCTACCAAAGGCCTGCCTCTGAGCCTGGAAACAAGTTTGCAATGCCACGGTCTCTGTGAAATATTTCCTGCTTGGTTTCAATAGCCTGTTTCTGAGACAGAGATTGAGTGACAACTTAAAAGAGTGCAGATTATAAATCTATTTGAGTGTTGCATTTTTTGAATTTGTCACAAATGAGAAGGGAAAACGAGGGTGACACAGGCAAGGCTCAAGTGCCAACATGGGTCTTTCTGTGCGTTCATTATGCTAGGGTCAGACTCTCCACCAGGGCCAGCAAGAAATGTCAAAAATAAATACGTATCAGTGCAAGAATCTTCAATTTAAAATAATGGAAAGCAAGATTACTACTCATTTTTATGGCACAAACCTGACATCATTTCACTCATTTCACAGTTTTCTAATAATGGAACCAGCTGTGCTCTGGGAGGAACTAGTAATAGGTTTTAATGGACAAAATCGGCCACTGAAACTAGCCATTTTCTAATGCAATCTCAGGGCTTGGCGCCCAGCCTGTCATAAGGCATCGTGCTTTCAGCGGCGCCACATCCATTGTGAGATGAGGGCGTGCATGAGCAGGAGGGCTGCTGAGACTTGGGGTAGGGGTGAGAAGGGAGAGCCTCTCCTCTGTCCACTAGGGAGCATCCCAAGCCCCAGATCAGGGTTTGATGGCCTAAACTGGACTGAACCCTGTGGAAGAACCAGGGAAATGTCAAGGTCTTCAGTGAAGGGTTGTGGAGAAGGCCATGGAAGACAGGCAGCAGAGAGAGGCAGAGAGGCCAGCAGGTGAGGGGAGGGCCATGACTTCAATGTCAAGTCCCTGCCCCACTTCCAGTTATGATTGGTCACAACAGACGCAACCAGGTCTTACTGAGTCTGGATTCAAAGTCAGAGAGTTTCTTTCTCTACCTCTCTTGCCCTCTCATCCCATTAAACCCTTCTTCTCTCCTTCTCAGCTCCCAAACCACTGTTACTATATAAAAATAGCATGCAGAGAATGGAATGGGCTGGCTGCCATGGAGATAGAAATGGGACGTTCGCTGTAGTTTCTTTCATGGTGCTGTGCCCTCTGCTGACGCTGCTCTCTTTGCTGGGCAGCTTGATTGCCTCTTGGAGACGGTGACTGCTCTGGCTCCCAGCCTTGTGTTCAAGCCACAGTTGAGGTTAGACAGGTAGCCAGCCTCTGAACATTGCACAGAAACCTGAACAAACTCACCCTGCCTATGACAATCTGGGAACGAGAGAATTAGGCTTTTTTTTTTTTAAAACTTGTAGCAGATTTTCAGCTAAGCGATCTCAAGTGTTCATTTTAGTGAAATGCTGCAGGTTCTAAAACAAATGATGCTTTCAAATAACATACACTCACTTTGCCTAAAACATGTTCTACAACTTCTGTTCCAGCTGTCTCATGGCAGTGGTCCTGAAGCATGGGTACACAATTTTAAAGGAAATTTAAAACGCTTTTTTGAGTGAAAGGCATGGCCCAGACGGAAAACATTGATGTATTCAGCATGGTCACTTCCTCCATAGGTCACTGTGCCCTTGCTAACCTTAGGTGATCTTATGAGCACATGTCATTCCTCTGAGCTGCTTCCCTCAGCTAGCTCTGGCCACGGTTCTCTAGAAAGTTCTTCAACAACAACAAAAACGGTGAAGCAAAACTAGACATCATGTTGACCAATAAATTGGAAGCTCTATATTCTACTCCAGGGTGAAGAGCCTCTGATTTGAGGTTGGTTCAGAAAATGCTGCATTTCTCTTTTGCCCCTGCTTATAAAGATACAGACTCTGCAGTGTTGTTGTCCAACTCGAAGTTCAGCGTGATGCCTCCAACCTCTGCAGAGTGTGCCTTTCCACCACTGCCCGTCATTCGTGCCAGACCCTAACTGCATCCAGCTGTGGACAGTCTCTTGTCTCCCAGGTCTCATTGCAGTTACCAACCCCTGGTGAACTCCTGCTCCTTCTTCTGCAAGGCTTTGTTCAGCTGCTCCAGGTGAAGTCACTTCCTCTGTGCTCACTCCATGTTTATATTTCCACTACCACCTGCCCATACCCCACCTAGTGAGTGTCTCAGAGACCAATCTCCGATGCGGAGAACATAGTCTGATATATTGAAGGTGTCTAAAAAGCATCTCTTCCATGAATGCACGAAGAATAAAGGGAAAGCAAAATACACTTATAACCCTCAGACAAATGGCATTTTCTTTTTCCTCCAGATATTCCAAAAATATGAAAATTGGGAGCTTGTTTCCCACTTCGTGCTGACTGCTGTTCAATGATTTTACATCTTTCTGGTACAGTCAACTCTATTCTGCATACTAAAGGAACATTACAATGGTATGAATAAAAACTTAAAAAAAGATTTTTCAAAGACGATTCATCTTTAATAAGCCTCATAATGTATGTTAAAGCGGGTGTTTGTTTTTTTTTCAACTAAGCATAGGGGATAGGTAATAGAAAGCACTTTGCACCTTAATATGGGATTTCTCTTTCTTGCTTTGCTAACAACTTGCTTTATGATTGTAGTCAAGTCCTTTCTTCTTTTTCACCTTTTATTTCTTAATCTCTAAAGTGGTTTTTTTGGTCCAAAATAAGTAGGATCCTATGACGTCTAAGATCCTTTCAGCTCTGTGGTATATTGTTCCCAAAGACAGCCACCAATAATGCCTTCCATGCAAGCATATCGCAGCACTCCTCCCAATGAGAGTTCGTAAGCTCCCTTTGAATCTGGGTTGCAAGACCTCTTTTTAAGACCCCTGAAAGATGTAAGGTGGTGCTGGTAGATCTTCACAGCTAGACAACAGGCTGTCTGAGAATCTTAAATGTGCTGTCCACATCAGCCTGACAGACCTGAAGTAGAAAGAAGTATGAAGGTATGTCAAAAACTTCATGGAAAAATGGAATTGAAAGACAATACAAATATTTCCATCAACTGTTTGAAGTATTGTATTATGTCTCAGAGACAATTGTGGATGTGGCTTTGGGTGCATGAACAAAACCCAATAAGATTCATAGAAAACCCACAAAGTTTAAAAATAATTGTACTAGCAAAATACCTCCAGCTTGAACTAAAATAAAAAATTCAAAATTCAAAATGACAATAGTCCTCTGGGTGCCCAACATCACATATTGTCAGGGAGCAGGCTGAGAAAGCTACTCAGCTGTAAGCATCAGCTCCTTCTTATGCAAAATGAAGAATGACTCTCAGGGCAGAGCCAAGAGCAGAGAATTACAGATTAGGGGATGACTCCCAGAGTGCAGAGCTTAGCCCTAATCAAGGGACATTTCCTCCCCCCACAGTTGGGGGAACTGATGAACATGTGTCTGACTTTTTCAACAGGAGTGTTTATTGTGGTTAATCTGTTCTTATTTCACTATTCATGTTGGGTAGACTTGTGTGGTATGGAGGGCTGATAACCTGGGGTGGGGGTGGTTGTTTGGGTTTCCAAGTCCCCAGATCAAGAAAAAACAAACCCGAGTAGCTTTATTTGCATTGGGCCCATCCAGACCTGATTTAAATCCTGGCTTTTGGGCCTGAGCCTGAGGCACTGTTCTAATAAGACTAAAGCTCTTTAGAGTGAGTAGGTGAAATGTGCACCAGGGAAGCACGCACACTATGTGGCTACAGGCAGACTGTGGTCCTTGTCTCCAAATATGGCCATAAAAACTCCTCCCATGCTCCATTCCTGCTCGCATATGTAACTCTTCCCATTAGGAGTTACACTTTCTCTTTCCTCGCTCTGAATCTTGCCTGGATTTTAACTTCCTTTGATCAACAGAATGCAGAGGAAATAACACCATGCCAGTTCTTGGCCTAACACTTCAAAGTTTTGGTAGCTGTGGTTTTCACTCTCCTGAACCCCTATGTAAGAATCTGGGTATCTTGATGAGGAAAGAGGACCCACCCACCACCAGCCATGGTGGCAACCCCATCTGAGTTCCCAGGCATGACAGTGAAGTCACTGTGGAAGCTCCGGCCCCAGTCAAGCTCCCAGCTGAATGCAGCTGCACAGCTGACCTCAGCCAACAGTGCATGCAGAGAATGAAACTTCAAGCTGACCCACTAAACTGTAAGAAACAATAAATTTTGGGCCACTGGGCTTTGGGATAGTTTGTTGCACAGAATAAATAATGGATACAAACTCTTAACGATGATTGCCTATAGATAAAATTATATCATCTGCTTAGATTCAGAACTCATGGTTTAGGTGAGCAGTCCAGAAGCAGAAAGGGGAGAGGTTACCTGCTTGGTACTAAACATGAGTATTTATGATCCTCCCATGAATGACTAAGATTTGACTATATTTTATTTTTTACCCTTACTTATCTCTGTCTCATTCTATATTTACATTCTGCCAAAACATCTGAGTTCGAGTGGAAACACTTAGTCAATGATCTATGTGGAACAAAAAATTAATGGAGTCTTAGAGCTGGAGAACAATTACAGCAGGTGTCTCGTGAGGAGTATGGGGTCCAGAGCGAAGCGGTGAGAGGACCGTGTTTCTAGGACGAGCTACTGTCCTTTGGGGAAGGACTGAATAGGTGATTGATAGGATGTTTCCCTTTTCATTCCATGTACTTGATAGAAAATACCTTGATATTCTTGCTTAAAAAAGGGCATCTGGCACAAAAAGTGCATCACTTCACTCGGGTGTCTTGTAGACTCACTGGTCCATGAATGTGAAATACCAGGAAACCTCGTAATGAACACTTGACACACAGTCATGTTTATTATGAAATAGGTCCCACTTAAATTCTATTCAAGAAGGTTTTGTCACATAATTTTTCTAACACACCTTCACCTATAAGGTATGCTGTGGATTGAATGTCCCCTAAAACTCACTGACGCTTGATACCCATTGTAACTGTGTTAAGACGGTGGGAAATCTGACTGTGGTATTTGAAAGGTGGGGCCTTTAGGATGTGATTAGATAATGAGGACTAGGCCCTCACAAATGGATTAATGGGTTAATGGTTTAGTGGGTTATGACAGGAAGTGGCACTCATGGCTTTTTAAGGAGAACAAGTGAGCACATTAATGCACTTTTGCAGTCCTCGCCACATGATGCCTGCATCACCACAGGACTCTGTAGAGAGTTCCCTCCAGGAAGAGGCCCTCACTGGGTGTGCTGTCTGGGCCTTGGGTTTCCCAGCCTCCAAAACTGTAAGAAATAAATTTCATTTCTTTTTACATTGTGCAATATCAGGTATGCTATTATAAGCAACAGAAGTGAACTAATACACGGTACTACCCAACTCCTGAATTCGGGAGACAGTGAAGAAGAGGTATTATTGTATTGAATGAGATTGAAAAGATATACAGTAGGATATATTGCATACACGTACAATATACCGTATTGTGTATCTTCTCAGTGACCAAAAGACAATTTTACAAACATACTTTCTGATTATTTGGAGTCCTTTCCCCCCGTTCAGAGGTGTGACTCTAGTCTCATTAAACCTTTAGCACATTCAAACTCTTGACAAAGTTTATAATCGAGCTCTTGCTGTTGACAAGTGTTTGAGAAAAAGTTCTGCTTCTGGGTTTTCATGGAGACCACTTCTCACCTAGTGGCTGAAGGTAACCTCTGTCAACCATGGCTGGCGGTAGTTATCAAGCTGTCACTGGCAATTTCCCCCCTCATTTACTAGAAGCAACATTGTAGAAAGAGAATAACGGGATGGCACAGGGAGAACACACTTCCCTTTGAGGCTGCAGTTGTGGGAAGACTTCTACTGTTGACTGCAAGATCCTGGCCCTGGGGGAGTATGGCCAACCCGTAACGTGAGCAGCAGAGTGAGCAGGGAAAATAGCACTGGCTTTCTGGTCAGACTGGATAAGGTTCTGTCCCTGTCCTGCCAGCTGTGAGAAAGTGGGCAACTCAGGTCAGCTACGGGAGTGCCAGTCCCTCCCTTCTTATCAACACAAACAATGGTTTTTGCTCTGTTTATTTCAAAGATTTCTTATTTAATTAAATTACATAATTTCGATAGCAAGTGCTACTGACATAAACGAATTTGGAAACAATACAAATGACTCTTGGTAAGCCCCCTAGCTCGGCCTGTGGGAGCAGAGGCCACAGACTAATTCATGAGAACAGCTTCGAAGGCGGCTGAGGTCTGCGTGGGCTGCACATCCACATGTACGTTTCACAGAGAAAAAGTGAACCTCGGTCAGGTGAAGGGTCGAGGGGAAGGTGAATTAGAGGAGCCTCCTGTCCATGTGGGTGTGGATGGATGTGTGAGTATGTGTGTCCAGGTATTCATGGGAGTACAGATGAGTGTCCCTGCCACCCTTCCCCAGTAGATGAGTCTCAGCCTAAATCACCACGACCCATGGATTAGCCATCATCCATCTATGGCAGGTGAAGGTGACATTGCTGGTGGCAGGGTCCCCTTCTTAAGTGAGTTGGGACTGGCTATTGTTGGGGCGGGGTGGAGCTACCCTGTCCTGTGTCCACTGTGCCATTTCTGTGCACTTTCACCTTTTCTCCCCCACCACACAAGAGGAAACAGAGACTCTAAGAAGTGGGGTGCCTCTAGGGATAGACAGTGGTGGCACTGGGCTGTTAGACCCATCACTGACCAGGGCACCCCCCAGGAGTTTTAAGTGACAGCTGATGGACACCAGCCTGCTCCTCAGGGGCCTCTGTGGAGCTGGAGGTGGGGTGGGCAGGAGGCTCACTGACTATAGGGGTGCCCAGGAGACAGGGAGGGGACTGGGGACAGGCTGGCCACCACTAGTCCAGACTAGGGTTCCTGTTGGCAAAGTTCTTGGGTTTCTTCAAAGACACCCACATCCACCCAGGCATTGGAAGCTCCCATTGTCCCTTAGGAGGGAGGAGGAAGCCATCCTTCCTCCCATTTTACAGACAAGGAAACTGAGCCCACAGAGGCACCCCTAGCAGTGAGTGGCAAGGCTTAGGCCTGACCCCCACACATTTCTGCTGTCTCCCACCCAGCCCTTATCTCCTGACCTCCAGCTCACAATCGTAAGTGCACGGTCAAGTGCATTCTACTGGCCAGGGTTGCCAGATAAACTACAAATAATTTTTTAGTATAGGTATATACCAAACGTTGCATGCAATATGCACTTGCACTTAGAAATTTGTCATGTGATGTTCAAATTTAACTAGGCATCCTGGATTTTTATTGGCTAAATCTGGAAACTCTACAATAACCCTTCCTCCCTTTCACCCACTCTCTAAGCCCCCTGGGGAGACATCAGGAAAGGAGTGTTGGCCCCCTGCCCCCACTGCACCAGAGAAGGAACAGAAACCTGATGGGCAGGACTGACTGAGACCCACTGGACTTAGCTACTTAAGCAGCCTAATAACCATACAAAGAAACCCACAAAGGTTTTCTTGGAAAGAACATGGTACTACATTAAATAAACAGAATCATGCTAAATTGCAAATACACAAACAATACCCCCAGAAGCAAGTGGAACTTCTACCAATTTTTCAGAACAACTTCTACACCCCACCCAATTTAATGATAGTGGTGGTCTTGAGGAAAGTTCAAGGATGGGCAGGAGAGTTGGCAGGAAGCTAATGATCTCTAATGGAATGATTGCCCATTCAGTACCTGCCAACATCAGCATTGCACACACTGCCATTACCCCAGCAGGAAAGTACAAAGGTGGAAGAGGTCAGGCAAAAAGACTCATGAAGTGCTGAGATGATTCACAGGGATCACAGACTCCATTTCTCTGCACAGAACATGCACAGGACACAACCTGACGGGGCAGGCTCACTGAATGCTCCTCTTGAGACAGAGATGCATGGGCCATGCAGTCGGCACAGAAAGCCTAAGCAAGCTTCCCAGCAACATGGACAACAACAGCAACCAATCACTAAGTGATGACTGAGGGACTCACAGGCCTAGCACCATGAGGTCAGTGCAGGGAACACACTGAGTTGTGAAGTATGAGAACAACTTTAGTGCTTCCTATCTTAGCTTGGAGGGGAGTTTCCAACTGGGCAGACTATTCCTCCACAAATGATCAATAAATGCAGACACTATGTAAGAAGGCAATGATGAAGATTTCATTTTTAAAGTACAACTACTGTACCTAAGATTTTCAAAAGAAAGGTAGACTAGATCCTTTTAAGAAAAAGTATAAAGAAATATTTGGAGTGTAATAGCTTAGTTGAAAAAAAATAAATGCTGGGCCAGCCCAGTGGTGCACTGGATAAGTGCGCCGCTTGGGAAGCACGGCGGCGCTCCCGCCTGAGGGTTCGGATCCCACATACAGACCGGTTCCCGCTCACTGGCTGAGCGAGGCGCGGGAGCAACACCGAGGGTTGCAATCCCGTTGCCGGTCCCCGGTCCAGTACGGGGGCAACACTGAGGGTTGCGATCCGTTGCCGGACATGGAAAAAGACAAAAAAAATAATAAAAAAATAAATAAAAAAATAAATGCTAATTCTGTTTAAAATTTTGACAGAATCATTGCATGAAAGTGGAATGGGAACAAAACTCAGCTAAGGGAAACAGGAAATACAAAAGAACCATCGTAAAACCATCTCTGGGAAGATATGATGGGCTGCAATGACCCACCCATGCAGAAATTCATCGAGCACCTACTGAACTGAAGGCCCTACACTAGGTGCTGGATAAGAATCCTGGTCAGTGCACTCCTAGAAGTTATATTCTGTTAAAGCAGACAGAAACACAAGTCAACAAATAACCATATAATTATCAATTGTGAGCAATTCTACGTAAGAAATAAGCAGGGGGCCCAAGACAGATCCGAGGGTCAGAGAAGGCCCCTGAAAATGAAGGAAAAATTGTGACTTCAAAACCGAGGCCAAATATTGCCAACGGGGAACAGTATGTACAAAGGCCCTGAGGCAAGTTCCAAGTTAAAAAAAAAAAAAAAGACAGGAACAAAATTAAGAGAGTCACAAAATGAGGTAGGAAAGTAACAGGGGCCAGATCCTACGTGGGATCACGGTAAGAACTGTGGATTTTACCCAAAGTAAAATAAAAAGCCACTAAAGGTTGTTAAGCAGGAAAGTGACATGGTCTGATTTTTAAAATCAGTCTGGCGGCTATGTAGAGAACAGAGCAACAGACAGAAGCACGGGAGAAAGGGAAGTTGGAGCCAAGCTAAGCAATTAGCGCAGTTCCACATTCCTGCGTGGAGCAGAGACAGAAAACATCGGTGCAGGGAGTGTCAACGGTCTGCACCAGGGCAAGTATGAGATCGTGCTGCAAGTCTGTCACATACCAAGTTTGACCTCTGCATTCTCAGTCAGTAGGACATTCTGGACCTTGACATCCTGGTGAATCACATGATGAATGTGAAGATGTGCCAGTCCCTGAATAGCAAAGACAGATCTAAATTTTAGTTCTTTGTTGCTGTAAGGGTAAACAGCCAGGAACATGCCTTTTATAACAAAGTGCACACATGGGCCAAATGTTTATGTGCACTCATATGTAGAACATAAAATTGACTCAGTGCATTCCCAGCAAGACATCACCAATATTAAACACACACAATGAAAGAAGCCCCACCCCACCCAACTCCCCACCATTCCAACAGGGTCAAGTTCCCCAGGTGAGCAACACTGCCCCTTTCTACCTGTGCCTTTATGACACTTTAGATTACCCTCTGCAGTTTCTCTGCTATAATATGTGCTATTTCTATACAGAGCAGCTCCTTTCCCACGCTAAATATCTACCTTTCATTGGGTGACCCCGAGGGTATATTTGAACTAGACACATTCCAGGGGAAAGGCTAAAGTCTAGAGAGGGGTTTAAAATCTGGCTCTCCAACACTGGCTAGTCTTCCCACTGCACAGCGACAAACTGCTAAGTGCTGATCAATCCCACCCCTACCATAGCGTAAAATGATTCTGCTGTCAAAAGAGCCTTGTGTTCAAATAAAATATCTTTCTTTCCAAGGAAAATTCCAAGAAGGTCAAAGAGCTTACCATTAAAAAAAAAGAATCTACAAAAACAGAAGGTAAATCCTATGCTGTAATCGTCTCACCTCCTAAGAAGTTATCAACGACAAAAGTAAAGGATATTAATATAGAACACAGGCATGCCTGTGAAACTTTTAAAAGTCTGTTAAAAAAAAAAGTTAAGAAAACAAAGATATTAAAAAAAGAACAGACTTCTGCTTCTGGGAAGATAGAGCAGATGTATTTTTCTCTATTCCTTCCATTCAGGACACGTAAAAAGTCTAGACATGACATCTAAAACAAAAATAAGATGTCTCTGAAAGGTGGAGAGAAAAACGAAGACTCCTAGGGACCTCGGGACTGAAGAAGCACACGGCAGCAAGTCCTCCAGGTATTCTTTTTGCCTCCTCTATCTCAGACATGGAGATGAAGAAGCCAGCAACCCAGAAATGCCAACGGGCACAGACAACAAAAGCCCCAACAGTAGCCTGCTTTATCTAGGAAAGAGTCAGCCTAACAAGACAGAAATGCTTTAGAAAGGCCCCACACCGTAACGCTATCCCATGAGCCTCTAAGTTTCAACACCCGAATTTTGGAAGAGACACATTCCCATGATAGCAGCATGGTTCTCAAAAGGAGACATACGAACGTCCAACCAGTGTACAGAAAAACAACTCAACATCGCTCACCAGGAAAGCGTATGAAACCACCAGGAGTTGACACCTCACACCTGTCAGAATGTGTATTATCAAAAAGATGAAGTGGAGCAAGTGCTGGTGAGGATGTGGAGAAAAGGGAATCCTCGTCCACCACTGGTGGGAACGTAAATGAGTAGAGCCATCGGGGAATACGGCCCAGAGGTCCTTTGAAACATTAAAACTAGAATTCCCATAGGATCCAGCAATCCTACTTCTGGGATACAGAGACTAAGGAGTTAAACTTCGTACATGCGAGAGATGTTTTCACTCCTGTGTTCACTACAGTGTTATGCACAAGAGCCAAGATATAGAAATAACCTACATGCTGTAAAAAAGTCATCTATTTTCTGATTCATTTTCAGAAATGACTTCTCTCAGAATGATTTAACTGATTCAGGACCAGCCCACTCCCAGAGGGTCTCTGAACAGACAGGACTCTCTCTCCTTGAGATGGCAATCAGCTACTAGCCCCCACTGTTTTCTTCACTCCCTGACGTTTCTCCCTTCACAGGGCTTAAGCGGGCCCTTTCTGCGGGCTTGTCGCCAGCCCCCAAAGGAAATCCTTGTGAGGGGTAATAAATTTTAGGTGCCCTTCAGGAAGACTACATTGCCCTTCAGGAAGACTACATCTTAATAAATTTTAGGTGCCCTTCAGGAAGACTACATCTCAGCCAATGAGGAAGTGGGGGCAAGGACTTGCATACGAGGGAATAAACTGCTTGATACAGCCCTTTTTCACATGCCTGCCCTTCGGAAACCCTGACCTTACAAGGCCCTAATTAAAGTCTTGCTTCAGTGTACCCCGTGTCTCCACGTGTCCATCCTTTGGCATTGGACGGATGAGGGCATTTCTCACACATGCCCATGAGTGAGTGGTTTTCAAAAATGTGGTACACGTACGCGATCCTATTCAGCCCTGGAAAAGAACAAAAATTCCGTCAATTCCAACAACTTGGATGCATCTACGAGACATCATGGTAAGTGACATCAGCTAGGCACAGAAAGACAAACGTTGCATGATCTCACCTACACGTAGAATCTAAAAGGGTCAGATTCAAGAAAACAGAGTTCAACGGTTACCAGAGTCAGGGGGGCAGGGCTTGGGGGTGGGGCCTGGTGAACAAAGGAAAAGGGAATATTGACTAATGGGTACAAAGTTTCACTTAGAGGGGAGGAATAAGGTGTGGCACTCTATTGCACAGCAAAATGATTATAGTTAATACTAATGTGATTTCAGAATTGCTAAAAGAGTGGACTTCTAGTGTTCTTACCACAAAGAAGTAAGTAGGAGGTGGCGTGACCATGTTAATTTGCCTGATTTGCTCACTGCACCATGGATACACGTATGGAATCATCATGCTGTTCCCCATAAACACATATGGTTACTAGTGTAAGTAAAAAAGAAAACCCAAACTGAAATTAAGGTGTTAAAAAAAAAAAAGACAGTTTTGCCGTACTGGCCTAAGTACGCACCTAGAGGTCAGCGGAACAGAACTGAGAGTCCAAAGAGAAACTCATCCATCTGTGACAGACGGGTCTCCTCAAGCGTTCTGTGACCACTCAATGGGGAAGCAATATTTCTTCAGCAAGAGGTGCTGGGACAACTGAAGAGCCATGAGGGAAACAACGAAGTTGAACCATGCGCCAAAATGAACGCCAAATGGATCACAGAACTAAAGGTAAGAAAGAAAACTCTTAAAACATGGGGATAAATCTTTGCGATGCTGGACTTCATGATGGTCTCTTAGATAAGATGCCCAACACACAGGAAACCACACAAAAACTAGCCAACTGGACGTCATCAAAAGTAAAAGCCAGTGCACTTTTTAAAGGACACCTCCAAGAAAATGAAAAGACAACGCATGCTACAGAAAGACATATTTTGAAGTCATATTTAAAGAATAAGGATATAGAAAGAGCTCTTCCAACTGAACAATCGGAAAGACAGTTAACCCAATGGGAAAAAATGGTCAGAAGAAGAGCTGGCCAGTTAGCCCAGTGGGTCAGAGCGCAGTGTGACAGCATCGAGGGCAAGGGTTAGGTTCCCTGCACGGGCCAGCCACCACAACACAACAGAAAACACCACGGAACAAAAACACCACTCAGGTAATTCAAATATTCAACTAAACATTTCTCTAAGGGAGGTACAGACACACGGCCAAAAAGCACTTACAAACATACTCATCCTCGCCACTGAGGAAATGTGTACGGAACCCCTGTGACATCATACTTCACACACATCACAAGGGCTGTCATCAAAAAGACAGTCAATACAAAGCGTTGACAGGATACACAGGGATTGTAAAACGGTACAGACTCTTAGGAGACTTGACTGGCAGGTTTTCAAGCTGTGAAATGTCATGTGACTACGTGGCCAAGCAATTTCATGCTGGAGACACACCCAAGAGAACTGAAAACATATGTTCCCACAAAAACTTTGTATATCAGCGCTCCCAGATCAACGTCACTCAGGCTAGCCAAAGAGTCGAACCACACGGATCACCAAGGAACAACACTGGAGAGCAGGGACACAAACACACACACACACACACACACACACCCATGACACATGAACGTGCTCCACACCTTTGCACCCAGGCCCTACACACAAACACACACACACACACACACACACACGCACACTCCACGACACATGCAAGTGCTACACGCACCTTCGCACCCAGGCCAGATGCCAAAAGTCAGGAAGGGGGCCACACCCCTCGCAGCACAGAGGGTGGTCAGAAGGCCAGCCATGCCCATGCATACCCCCCCTTCTCCCTCCTCCACCTGCTGGGGCTGCCTCCACCCGACTGCTCCCCCTCCTCAGGAAGGCCACAGGAAGCCAGGCTTCTGACCTGGCTCCGCCACTGCCCAGCCAGCTGCACCATGAGCCAGTCCCTTCTCTCCAAGATGGTAGCAGCAAAGGTGCAAGAAGACGGTGCCTGCGTCAGGAGGACAAGGGGTGGGAAGCCCCAACCACAGAGCTCCACGCAGCCCAGAAGTCCTGCTGCGCCCCCAGCCGAGACCCCTGGGAGGTTGTGGGCATCTGGTGGTGGAGGTGGAGTGGGGCAGGGCCACCCACTGTCATCTTCAGGCTGTGGGGAAGTGGGGAGCATGGCCCCCATTTGCATGGACACTCCTCACTCAGGAGAAAAGCCCTCCCCCTTCACCAAACAGCCCAGCTTTCCAGGAGAGAAGGGGCACTGGCGGGCCCTAACTCAGAGCTGGTGGCCATCACTTCCCTCAGATCTCAGGCCTGTGGGGAGGAGCTTTGCTGTCACCAATTCCCAGAAGGGAAGCTGAGGCACAGAGATGTCAGGACGTGCCCCAGTCTGCCCACCTGGACAGAGGCCCAGGCAGGATCCAGAACCAAGTCCCTCTCTTGCCGAAACTGTGCTGGCCTTGCCACTGGGCCGTGGCACTGGCTCCGAGCAGCATCAGCCCTCAGGGGAGAAGAGCTGTAGAAGGGGCCTCTGCGTTCACAGCGCAGCACCCCACAGGGGTCAGTGAGGACCTGCAGGAGCTCAACGAGATGAGATGGCCAGCAGGAGTGCTGCCATGCACCTGCCTGTGTCCTCCAGGACAGCACAGGTGAGGGCTTGCCAGTTGTCTGTCTGCCTCTCTGCTCTAGGATGAGAGCAGCCTGAGTAAGTTCACAAGCTGAGGAGGCAAGACCCCTATGGGAGAGGAGGCAAGAGCCAAAGCAGGTCTCGGCGAGATGGGATTGGGGGCTCTTCCCCTCTCACAGATGGCCGAGTCAGAGGTGAGCCACAGAGAGGGCCACCACTGGGCCAGGGCGGTGGCAGCAGGGCTGCCCAAAGCCTTTACCTTCTCCACAGTGTGAGAAGCACAGTCAGCTGAGTGGGGTTTCCGCAGAAAGGGAAGCACTGGGTGAAAGTAGGGGCTGAAGGGTGAGGTATGGACTGTGGTGTCCTACTGGGGGAAGGGCAGAGGGAGCCACAATAGGACAAGGAGAGGGTGACCCCAGCTCTGTCTAGGACCAGAAGGCCCACTGCACAGGTGGATTTCTTGCCTCCAGTCTCAGAAATGGAGGCAGAGTCACAAGCTGTGGGGCTCTAAGGGAAGGGAGGCAGGAAGACAAGAGATCAGAGCCCCTCAGGGCCCACCCTGTGTCAGGCTCTGCAGAAGCAGCTGAGAGACATGGAAAAAGGTGGGCAGGAAGGGGAGCCACTAAGCCTGGGCAGAATGTGTGGCCAGAGAACAGGCTGCTGGCATTTCAGGGTCCAGAGGCAAAATATCGCCTAGCACAGAGCCAATGCCAGATGGCTGGACTCTGAAAAGCCAGAGATAGGAGCCCTAGCCCTACAAGGTGCCCAGAACAGGAGGGAAAGGGGGCAGGGGTGAGAGGTGAGGGTGAGAGGGGCAGGGGTGAGCAGAGGTCAGGGTGCCCAGGGGCAGCTCTCACAGGTCCCAAGGAGGACCGCTGACAGAGGAAACACCATCATCCTCACATAGCTCAGAGGTAACCCTGGCCAGGTGCCAGGCTGCTGGGACCCAGGTGGAGAGAACTGGGCCAGCCCTCACCAAAGCCTACTGCCCATGGCAACCTCAGCTCAAAGCCAGAACCTCCTCAGCACACTCAGAGCCAGGTCCTCACCTCCGCTCTGAGCTTCACCATGCCCCTCTTCTCCAGAGCTTTCCCTGACTCCCACCAACACCCCGTGGCTCCTCCCCTGTTGGCCTGCTCCATCCGCTGGTCCTGAGAGCAAGGCCAGTCTCTCAGACAGGAGGGCAGCCCTGTGCCTCCAGCCACTTGCACGGGAGGCATGCGGGAAGCAGGTGACCAGTGGGACAGGACAGGCTGCGGAGATGGACGCACCATCCTAGCCCTTTCAGGTAGGAGGCTCCAGATGTAGCGATCCAGGCACTGTCCGCCGTGCTGACAGCAACAGGCTCTAAGCTGGCCCTGCAAGCCTAGTCCAAGCCCCACTCAGAAGCTTGCAGGGTCCACTCCCAACCACACACTCAAGCTGATTTCAAACACTTCCTTATGTCAAAACTTGCTAAAAGCTACAGTAATTAAAACAGCAGCATACGGACCCATGGAATAGAATAGAGAGCCCAGAAATAAACCTTCACATATATGGTCAAGGGATCTTCAACAAGGGTGCCAAGACCATTCAGTGGGGAAAAGATCATCTTTTCAACAAATGGTGCTGGATAAACTGGATAGCCACATGCAAAAGAACCAAGTTGGATCCTTACCTTAAACCACATACAAAAGTGAACAAAAGAATTTTAAAAGACTTAAATGTGAAAGCTGACATAATAAAACTCTTAGTAGAAAACTTAGGAGGAAAGCTTTATGACACTGAACTTGGCAATAATTTCTTAGTTATGACACCAAAAATACAGAAAATAGAAGAAAAATAGACAAATGGGGCTTTATCAAATTTCAAAACTTTTGTGCATCAAAGTCCACCATCAAGAAAATGAAAAGGAAACTCACAAAATAGAAGAAAATATATGTTACAAATATATTTAAAAACTCCTACAATAACCAAAATATCCTATTTAAAAAGTATCCCAAATGATAGAGATAAGAAAAGTGAGCAGAATGAGGTAAAAAGAAAGAAACCAAATCACTTGTAAAGGGAAACTAAGCAGGCCTCAGATTTCTCTATAGCCACATTTCAAAGACAGAAGACAGCAGAGAGACATCTACAAGATGGTTAGAGAATAACAGTCTTGACCAAGGGTTCCATCAACACTCAAGCTGTCCCGCAAGCCCCAAAGCCACAGTTTTGAACATCCAGCAATCAGGGGCCACCATTCCCACCAGCCATTCTGAGAAAACACCTCCAAGAGAAACTGCAGCCAATCGAAACTTGATAGAAGAAACACCATCAAAAGGGCTGTCAATGAGCATTGAATATACTTACCTGTAGATGTAAGCCAGAAACCAAAGTGGGCTGACAGTGACAGACCAGAATGCAGATAATAGAATGCCACAACTGTGGAGTAATGACTCAGCTAACACAAACTGGGGGGCAAAAGACAAAAGAAGGCAAAAGACAGAATTAGTTCACCACCTCATCAACAAGACCTAGAGTCAAAGGATATCATTTAAAGCTGACATTTCAATATCAGAAATACAAGTAAATTTCAGAATAGAAAGGCAAATATTGAGAAAGGTATTATTATTGACCCAAACTGGGTGATGGGAGGAAGAAAACAAAACACGTTAATTTGATAATTACTCATGGAAGGTGTACTAGTTTCCTATTGCTGCCATAACAAATTATCACAAATTCAGCAGCTCAAAACACACAAATTAGTTCTATCACAGTTTCCATGAGTCAGAAGTTGGGCTGTGTTCCTTCCCGGAGATGATGGAAAAATAACTCAGGTTGCGGGAAGAGTCCAGGTTCTTGTGACTGCAGGACTGAAGTGCCCGTGTC